TTCATGAATGCTTTAAGATTGAGCACTTTTCATATAGCTGGGTGACTTGGGTCACGAGATACAGACCAAAACGTGGACCCGGGTAAACTTAGGCTGTATTTGTTTAATATCGGCATAAAATGAAAGCTGTTATGTCAAAAGTATGCGGAAGCAAATAAAAAAAAAATTAAAAAATTCATGAATACCGTTTTAGTGAAAAATAAAATTGAGTAATGCGGACAGTTCTTTAATCTTCTTTAATATAAAAATTAATATAAAAATAAGTAGGGTTTTCCTTCCTGACGCTATAACTCCAGAACGCACGAACCGATTTTCACGGTTTTGCATTCGTTGGAGGTTTATAGCTAGGAAAATTCAGGAAAAATTTCAATAGAAAAGTATATGGTGTGTGAGTATCCCCCACGAAAATAAGTATGTTTCATTTAAAGTAGATGGTGCCATTGTTTAACAGCTATTCATTGTACTTTGCTCAGTTAATTTCATGTGACACTAGCGAATACCCGGCGTGCTTCGCTGCGCCTTAAAAGTAATTTTGTTTTGTTACTCCCTCTCACAACATTTGAAAATATTATTTAATATTGCTGTACATATTTGTATAGTAGGGAGATTTTTTCAAATTATATAAATATACGTTATTTGAATATTGAATCAATACACGTTTGAGGAAAGGGTGCGATAGTAGACTCCAGTTATAAGATTATAAATTAAATTTCCAAGAGAAAGTCGGTTCTTTACATATTTTCTAATTACCTTCGAAAATATATTAACTCAAAAAAAAAATAAACAATGCTTCATAGATCGATTTTTTTAAATCTAACTTCATAAAGTTCTTTATAAATATTTTGTAAATGAGGCCATAAGAGCTTAGGGGGAGAGTTACAACACAAAAATACATTTAAGGCGCAGCGAAGCACGCCGGGTAATTGCTAGTTGTGTATAATCGTAAATAAGTGGCAACCTTACACTATTATCCTAAGAGATAACATTTTATATATAGAGAAAGCATTGTTTAAGAACCTTCTTTTGGTACCCATGAATAGTAATATTTTACCTTTTTTTTGTAAACAAAAAATTAAATAAATATGCTATTCAAAATAGGTGGCAACCTTAAAAAAATCTTTTTGAATTAGGGATCTTTAAAATACCTTCCATTTGATACCCATATTATGATGTTTTAATTAAATTTTAACTAATTTCGAATAGGTGGCAAGCTTGTACGAGTCTTCTCGGAGATAATGTCTATTCAGATAACCTTAGAATCCAAAACATTATCTGTGTACAAAATTTCATCAAAATCGTTAGAGCCGTTTCCGAGAGCCTTATGTATATATACAAGAATTGCTCGTTTAATGTAATAAGATTCACAATTATTTTCTTGAAAAAATTTTTGATAAATAAATAATATAAACCATATAAAACAAGTTTCACACTTCTTGTGCAAGTCGCAATAATTCACAAAAAAATTCAAAAACTTTTTATTCAGAATTTTCAGAAAATTTCCGAGTATGTAATTTTGTAGCCTATTTAATTTTAGTACCACAAAGTGCAATTTTCAAGTCGCAAAAATTACCGTTGCACATTTTCTTGCATATAAAAATTGATTTTGATCATGCATCTATACATATAATTAAATTGTAATAGACCGATATCTGTACATTATAGATATTAAAGATAAATTAATATGGAAGGTCTTTATTACAGCACCAGAAGCCAAATCAACAATTTTTCGAATTTGTGTCTGTCTGTCTGTATGGTTGTACGCGCATCACTCGAAAACTAATGCATGGAATTGAATGCAGTTTTCACTAGCTTAAAATATAGAAAGAAAAAAATTTGAGATTTGCCACCTGTTTTAAATTGCAGTGTAAGTAAATTGATAAAATAGAGTAAATATTGCAATATTACTGTCAAAAGAAAGAGGTCTAAGAAGGCTTACAGCCGAATACATATGTATGTGTTTGCTGAAGGTTGTCATCTGTTTGATTTTTTTTTTAACCGATAAGATAAATTTAATATGGTTATGTGGGAGTCAAACTGAAAGGTTTAGAAAAATTTACTGCAGAAAATATTTTTAAGGTGGTTTGCCACCTGTTTGTAAAATTCAATTCAATTAAACTGATAAAATAATGAAATATTTCAATACGGCTTTTAATCAGCACAAAAATATTTTTAAGGCGCAGTGAAGCACGCCGGGCATTTGCTAGTTCTGAATAAAAAGTTTCAAATTTTTATGGAAATTTTTTTAATTTTTGTGAATGTCATATAAAGTTTAAAGCCCAGCTCTCAGAAAAATCCCAAGAAATATTTTTCATTATTTCTGTTGGTTGAAAAAGTACTTTGCTTTTGCTGTAAATTTTCTTGAAGAAGTAAATATTCTAGAGTTTTTTTCTTGAGAGCTGTAAACAGCCCTTGAAGGGTGAAACTTTGATTTATATGGTACATGGTATGGGATGAACTACATTTGCATAAAAATAATTGTGAATATTATATTAGAATAAGGTGTATACTAACTTTTGACTCTGACTGTATGAAGTCGGCTGCAGATAGGCAAATTTTTGTGCCGCTGGCGATCTGAGTTTATCAGTTTTATGTCGAACTACTACCTACTCGTTATAGTACTTGTAATATCCCCTCACTTGATAAGCGTGCGCATATAGGCGGCTTTGTGTACAACCAGGGTTTCCACTAAAAAAAAATACTTACCATCCAATTGAAACAGATTTACCAAATCAGGAAAATATCTACCACTAACTCTTTTTAGTTATTTTAATAAAGACTATATTTTTAATCTATAAAAATGGAAATTTGTATCAAGAAACTTTTTATTTAACCAATGATATGGTATTTGCAATCCTATTAATTGCATCTCTTCAGTTTGGAGTTATTATAGACATATACAGTGACTCCGTTGGTGATTTTTTTTAATATTCACAATGTTTTTCAAGTAAAAATTTGTTTGCAATTTTTATTTGTATTAGAATATTGTTGACGCTTTAACCAAACCTATAAAAATCAAAGATTCAGGCTATATACACATTTAGAAAAATTCCAAAATTTTTTCATTTCTTACTCTAAATTTTTGCCGCCGGTCTTTTGTGGTTTTTGATCATTTACCAATTGCCATTTATATAAACTGGCGTTGATTTTTTAATTGTTTTTTTTTTTTTGCGAATAATCATAGTTTTTAATTACATACCTGTCCATGTTTTCTTTTTATTTAAAGATTGATTTCAAATATTAAGGCAGTAAAAAGCTCATCAGGATTCCATTAAAATGAGTTTTGAATGAAACACAATATATTCGCCTTTTATCGATATAAATACATGTCGAACACCGTCTTCAAAAGAGTCACAACTCAAAATAATACGTTTGAGAAAATGCGAAAAACTATTTCTTAGCACATGATAATCACATGGGCAAGGGCGACTTAACCTGTTCCTTTTTTAACAAATTACAATAAAAGTTTGCTCCAGCTTTTGCTAAAAGGTAAATAAAAGCTCTGTGCACATTTTTAGCGCATAATTTCAAATTGCCAAATTTTGAGTTGTGACTCTTTTGAAGACGGTGTACGATATGTATGCATGGTGTAATGAACTGAAGGTGGCGCATTCCCGAAACCGCTACTTTGGTTTTGCCGACTTTGACGTTTATAGCAATAAGTAAACAAACTTTTTGTTTAGAAACAAGTGCAAACGTATTGTGTACTTTCAAGTGAAAAATCAAAGTAATTCGTGCGTTCTAAATTAAAAAACATTTTTTTTGTAATAAAAACTTTATAAAAATGTCGTGTCGTGTGTTGAATTGCAGCAGCCGTAGGGGTAAAGCCTCCAAATGCAGTTTTTTTGTTTCCCTGCGACGACGCCTTGGCCAAAAAGTGGGTAGAAGTCTGCCGCAGGAGAAGCCAAACAATTTAGACACAATTTAGACCTATTCTTTTGAACACATTTCAAGAGTGGTTGTAGATTTTTTGTTAACGTTGTGTTTAATTTGCTATATTCAAAGATGGCTTGAGAAATTGGTGAACCGTGAAGAAAACAAGTTTTCTCACTGCAAATTCACAACTGTCAACTTATTGTTCTTCGCCATATTCTTTGTTTACCCATTGCCACAAATTTCATTCTGCGGGAATGCGCAATCTTGTATTCTATCGTTCTTGATATGTATGTGAAAAAAGTGTGCGGTAAAACGTTCGAAATTTAGTGAAAATAAGTAGTCTACACTTTTGGAAATAAATTTATAATAAGATAACTAGGAAAAATAAAGCGCGAACGAAAAGTTTTATTATTTTTTAAACAAAACACTTAAAAAAATCGACTAAAATGAACAAAAACTCTTTACCAACCCAAATTTTTGTTACCAGCCCAAATTTTTTTTACCAACCCAAATTTTGTTTACCAGATTTGGTTATAATTTATCAATGTGGCAACCCTGTGTACAACATTAGCTAACGACTCAGCTGCAGCATGACAGCGACAACAATACAACTGGGCGTATGAGCCGTGCTACGGCAATGTTCGACTTCAAGCAGTACGGGCTGCCGCCGCGTCATTTTGTGCTTACTCAAAGCGCAGTTACCCACGGACGTAAAAACGGAGAACGTGTCAGCTGACACGATCTATCTTATGGGATCTGCGTGTTAACAAAAACTCACCACCGCAGGACCGTGACGTACACATTGCTTCTCTCTCTTTCTTTCAACAGCACACTTGATATCTTTCTACGTACTACTACGCTACGCTACGTACACGTTCGTGGGTAACCGCGCTCTCAGTCGTGCTGTTAGTTCGATGGACATGGCACCTAGCAGCAGTTGCACGCGAATAGTGGAAGTGTAGTGACGGGCATAATGTGGACGACGACGACGACGAAGGTTGTTTGATATTCGAAAATTCTTTCTTATTTTTGTTGATCCAATCGAAGCGGCGTTGTACGACAAGAAGTGACTAACAGCACAAAAGCCAGAAAAGCATTCATCCTACGTATTGTGGAGCGCACAAAAAGCACACGGAATTTGGTTACATAAGGACGGCAAAAAAATAGAATAACATCAGCACGGAGGATGTCTGTTACTGAAGCAGTCAACAAAAGCCTTGCGGCAATCGGCTCCACCGTATCGGAACAGCCTCCACAGCAACAGCAGGAAACAAGTTTGAAGGCTCTGTTATGCATACTTGGCATTGCATGCACTGCTATACCATTTTTACGTAGAAATCTAAAACCAACAGACTTTTACGTATGTAATGCTGTGCGTTGGGTAACCGCTTACACGCGAAGCTCATTTAACAGATTCCTTATGTGACAACTCTCAAGCAATGCCAAGTATGCATAACAGAGCCTTGATGTTGGACATTATCGTACCCTCAATAATTTTGTTCGTCATGTTCGCCGCAAATGCTGTAATATTCGCTTTCATTATGCGCAAGAGAAGGAGTGTTGTATGGGAAGATCGCAGCATATACCAAGCGTGCCTAGATCCAACGGAGCCAGCGACATCGGCGGGGACAGTGGCGACGGCGGCGCAAGGTGTTGCTGTCTCGCTGGAAATGGAGCAGCTCAGGAAGTAGATGCGGAGGGGAGCAAATGGAATAAATGTTCAAAGTTACTAAATTAAATTTAAGTGGTAAAAATCAATTAATGTGCTGGCGGAGGGGAAAAAATATATTTTTTTTTTTTTGTGTTTAAACAATTAAAGCGCGTTTAAAGCGCTCAACAAACTGCTAAAAATAAAATAAATGCGACTGTACACTACTAAATACTAAACTCAAGCAACATACTGCATACAAATAAATGAATCCTAGGAAGTAATAACAAACAAAAAAACAATAAAGGAAACGAAGGCTGCTACTCTGATGGGTACCAAGCTGCATTTATATCCAATGTTTTCTTTAAACAAAAAATATTTTTAAGTGAATTTATACACAATCCTCCACCATACTGAAAATAGTACTAAGTAATATTCATAAGCAAGAGATTAAAAAGTATGGCAATAAATAAATTTATTAAGGTTATTACCGAAAAATTATCAGCAGTTATTTTTATTGTTAAAGCGCAGCGTTTCAAGTAACTGTGGCCATATTTGGCGGAAAATCGATAGTGTGCTCTACAAATGTTTGTTGTTTTTGTTTGATTAACCGCCAAGGGTTGCTGCTGATAGCACATGGTTGGCATAGCCTTACGTGTACATACTTACATATGGAAGCGTGTAAATGTGTTTAAACAATTGTTTAAATGTGTGCCAGTGGCGCGCATCAGCTGTGCAGTATGCAGTACAGCTGTAATGCTTTATTTAATTTTTCCTTGTAGCGAAATGTCAAAATGCACGTGCTTTTGGTCGGCCGAAGCAAAACTGTCGCATGAATTTCAGTTTACATCACCAGTGTTGCCGCGAATCATTTTTAGTCGTAGCCAAGTTCCCTTAAAAAAAGGAACAGGACAGTCAATCGACTTGATGGACCATTTAACAAATTAAGCATATTAAGGGCCGTAAACTTATCTATTTTAAACCATAGCTAAATCGTTAATAGATAAGTTAACAGCCTTAACACTTTTACAGTATGTAATGATAAAAACGTAAGGAACATACAATACATATCGAGCCCTAACCGCCAAAATAACGTAAGCGACATTTTTTTCAAAATTTTACTTTTGATGCAGAAATATTCCTAGAGCATCTAGATGCATTTCAGTATTTCTTAGTTTAAAAATTCATCTCTTACATAAATGAAAAAAAAATAGACCAAATAAAGCATATTTATACAACTCATGCCAAGTATAAGTATATTCTCCAAAGGGCTAAAAAAGGGCTAGGGACAATTTTAAATTTATGTCGCCAAAAATAGTATGTGGTAGCTAAATCTAGCCACCAAAGGGCTAAAACGGCAACACTGTACATCACACTTAGTAGAAGATCATCTATTTTTAGTCGTCTTTTATAAAAAGTCTTTTTTGTTACATGTATGTATATAGGTAGCACTTCACATGTAGCGTAAAATGCTTTGCCAGCTATTTTGGGACCTTCGCGCTGCACGATTTTGTCTCTGGCGTAGAAGAATTTACTGTGTATTTTGTATTGAGCGGAAAATGTGCGTGGAATTCCATGTATGTCGAAAAATGCTTAAAACATACTTCCATGCATATGAATAATGTATGTACTTTTGGGTGCATCACACCCTATACAAAAGAAAAAATCCGTACAGTTTTGCCATCGAGAGCTCTATAAAGTGACATTTTCATACAAATTTTCGCTTTATAAAGCAATTAAAGTCTTCTTTATTTGTTATGAATTTGAGTGTACGACCTCCCCCCAAAAAAGCTATGAAAAAATATTGATATTTAGGTACGTGAGCTGGAGCGGTTTGAAAATACCTCCAAAAATCTTGTTATTTTGATTTTGTCGATACATTTTTTAAACATTTGCATGCAAACCTTTTAAGATTAAACTCTTCAATCATCTGAGGTGATTTTTTGAAAAAACTTTTAAAACCAATTTTATTAAAATAAATGCGGAGGTATTTGCAAATACATAGGTTCAGCTCGTGCAAATCTTAATATTTTGAAATATAATAAATTTTATAATCCCGATAGAAAAACCCACGACTTTCTTGGCGAGGCACCCCAATGTATATTAACTAGGGATGTGCCGGATATAGATTTTGCCGGATAGCCGGATTCCGGATATCCTGTGCGATGCTATCGCAGTGAAAAATGGCATCTTATAAACAAACAAAAACAATCTTCATCAAATTCTTTGCTTTTGAACAATCAAGATGTTTTGTTTTCTTACGTTAATTTTTGTTTAAATTATACAGAACCCGCCTATTAACCTTTTTCGTTTCCGAACGCGTAGGTCTGCAATTTCAAATAATAAGTTGCGGCATATTGTGTACAGATATGTCTGTGTAATTAGATGGTTTGACTTACACACGTAAAAAAACCCATAAAATTTCAGTTTTGGTTGAAGTGTTATCACCACAAAAAAGGTTTTGGAGATTTTTGAAATAATTTATTAGTTCTAAAATGAAGTCGAATTATTTTCTTTTCTTGCTCATTTCCTCTTTTTATTTAAATTATCGGGCACTTGTTCTTTCACTTTGTTTATCATTTTGATCAAACAGCACTTTACACGGTCCACAGCACATGTCAAACGACAATCAAATTTGATGAAAGTCAAAACTACTAAGGGTATTCATCAAAGCTTATAAATGCAATGTAAACCGTATAAACTTATAATTGTGTAAACTTTATAAATGAACTGTCAAAATTTGTATGGAAACTCGTTTACACATTTCTGATAAATTTATCCAGCGATTTCACTGAATAAACCTGATAAACTAAAGCCAATGCGACTCTGTCGTAAAAGGTATGAAATTGCGATTCACTTATCAAAAGTATTTATAGAACTATTAATAAAAAAATTTACTTGATTATAGGACTAAACATTCAACAACGACAATGCTTCACTATTGCAACATTTTGTGACCCACGTTTCAAAACTCGTTTTTTTTCTGACGCCAATAAAGCTAAAAACTGGGTTGTTGATGAACTAATTCGAAATTATAAATCAGTTATCAAACGATTGGTAGACAAGGCAGCGAACGTACATGAAAAAAGGCAGCGATTTATGAACTAGAAATAGAGAAATATTTGCAGCTACCTCTTATGTATATCCAGACAAGAAGATCCCTTAACTTGGTGAAAGTATAGCCGCAAAGAATTTCCAAATTTGTTTACACTGGCAATGAAGTATCTCTGCGCGCCACCTTCCTCAGTGAACTCGGAAAGAGTATTTAGTGCATCGGGTAACATTTATGTTGAAAATAGAAATAGGTTGTTGCCCGATAATGCGGAAACTTTGATTACTAATTAGATACTATTAAACTGGATTACAAAAATACAAAATCTGGGTTAAATTTCTAAATTGAATCTTCTATAATCGATATCCGGAATCCGGCCGGATATTAGCCAGTATCCGGCCGGATAACCGGATAACCAAAAAACGGCCGGATAGGCCGGATTCCGGATATCTACCGGATACCCGGCACATCCCTAATATTAACAGTGTGTTCAACAAAGAAGCTTCCCCTTTTAACGATAAATTTTCAGAATACATTTATTTCGGTACAAAAGCACTTTCGACGAATAACCGAAACTTGAATTAATATTTTAAACTATAATATATTTTATAATTCCGGTGAAAGTCCCGCAACTTTTTTTGGTAAGGCGCGCTAATGAAAACACATTCAATTAGTTTTCTCTTTTCATGTTCAATTTTCAGACTTAATTCTTTTCGGTACAAAAGCACTTTCACAATTTTTATGACTGATACCCGAAATTTGAATAAGTTACTTTGAGATTTTTAATGTTATACGCCATCAAAGAAACTTAAAGAAGATTTGTAGCTGCATTTCTAGCAAAACATCGCTAAGACCCAATCAGATAAATATAAAAGCGGTAAAGTTTTTTCTGTATATATGTAAATACTACTGTGACACCTCGATATAACGAACCTTGATAAAACGGAAAACTCAGTATAACCAAGGCACATAGCATAGGTAATAGCAGCAGAACAAAAACAACAAGCAGCGTGTATTTTGTTGTTGATTTTGTACTCGAAAATGTCAAAAAAGTTTGACGAAATTTGACATTTTAGAGTAAAACTTTAACAAAACCGCTAATTCGGAGACAAAATGTACGAAAAAATAAAATTCGCTCCTCTGCCTGCTACCTGGTGAATGTGCCCTGCAATATAACAAAATTTTTGCCCCCGGAAAAACCTCGTTGCAGAACTTTCTGTACAAAATGCTTCATAAATATATCGACAAGCTTCGGATACATATATTGACGGTTAAAGTCCCGATAGAAAGAAAGACGAGGACTCGTTATTTAATTTTTTTTTACATTTTTCGTTGTATTGAAATTTTGATATATGTATGCATAACGAAACTATAAATATAACGAAGCATTTGTTGTCCAACCCCTTCAACTTCGTTATACCGATGTTTCGCTGTAGTTGTATCTTTGTGAAGAGGTGGTCTGACTAGTTTTTAGAAATGCGAGTTGTGTATGATGGACCAAGAGGAAGGTTCGGTGCTTTTCTACTTTCACTGTACTTAAATGCAGTTCGAAGTTGTAAGTTTGTGTTGTTGTTGCATTCAGATAAATCTGGGTCGTGCTATTGTCAAAAATGGGGCGTCAATATCTTCGTTATTACTTAAGCTTTTGCAATAGGTGATACATCAAAAGATAGAGAATTAAAATATCTTTCAGAATTATAGAATGAAAACTAATTTTAATCAAATGTGTGCGTACGCAAATCATTCGCATGTAAACGACAAGTTTTGACAGATGTGTGTGAGCGTCCATAATAATACAAATGGAATTCTTTTCCCTCACGCTCACAATGGCATTGCACTGTATAGCAAGCTTAAAGGACTTGGCCTGTAGATGTGCAATAAGGGGTTTTAAGGGTTGCCACGTGTGATTAGAATAATTGAATAATTTAAATGAATTATTGAAATATGGGTGTCAATCGAAATGGGTTTCACAAGGCTTTACCTATCCTGCAGGAAATAGGACTAGTTTGTAGCTAACTACTAACTAACTAGCATTCGACTAGTGGTAACTATTTATCAACTATTTCCTTTGGCCGTAACTAACTAATTTTGAAGGGCGATGGCCGCAAGATAGTGAGAACTGGTTTCCTCTGCATTAACTGTCAACTAACTTGTAGCCAAATACTCTTGGGCATAAATATCAATAAGAAAAACAAAATATTTTTTTGCTTTTTCTACTTTTTTATTTATTAATTATTTACTTTATTTTATTACATTTCATATTTGTTTACATATTCTGCTGTAGGTGGTCCGATATTCGAACACCGTCAGACATAACTTCAAAATGATAATGTAAAATTTCAATCCTCCTTTTATTTGTCCTGAATACGAAAAAGAATTTGCGAAGTTCAGCAAAAAAATAGTGTATTGAAAGTAATTTTTGTGTGGATATTTAAATAGAAACTTGTAA